TAAGGGGTGAGAATGATGAGAAAGCTTATAATTCGTATTAAATCCAAAAGTAAAATCAGTGATAAAATTACTTATTGTCCAATATCAATTGAAGTTGGCTCATGAGAAATATAAAATTACTCAGCTAAAATCATTCGTTACTACGTGCATCGCACGTGCACTTTACTAGTAATATAAAAATAGGTAATATTCTATTCTGATTGACTAATAAAGAAATAATTAATTCTTAGGATTGGCAGCAAACGCAATTGCACGTCCACCTTTTTTATATTGCCTGAGACGAGACTACAATTTTTCGATGAGGAAGTTGTGGACTGCACGTCCATCACCAAATAACAAACACAGCAGAGCATCCATTCAATCATTTAGTGCACTGCACGTTGCAAATTCTGTATATATACACAAACACATTATTTCTTGAAGAGATGAACCAAACAACAAACAAATCAGTCACTAGTGTACTTGTGTTGTTGATTTGGAGTAGCAGCAGACCAAAACATGAAGATGATGGGTAGTTATGTATTACTGGTGATGCTGGCGATTCTAAGTGTGGCTGTGCATGGCGGGGAATATGAGTACGACGAGTCACTGAGCTACTCTTATTACCACCAAAGTTGCCCTCAGCTGGAGGGCATCATCCACAATAAGCTCGCCCAGTGGCTCAAAAACGACTCGACTCTTGCTCCATCTCTCATCAACCTCCATTTCCACGATTGCATTGTCAGGGTACGTTTACGGCTAATGCGACTCATTTGTCTGTATGTTGTCATAGTTCATCGCATAATTGTTTCACACTTTTATCAATTCTCTTCGTCTGTAGATTATCGCATAATTGTTTCGCCTGAAAATTATTCCTTCTAGAAGATTTGATGAACAAAAACACATAAAATCTAGGGATGCGATGCTTCGATTCTTCTGGACCACTCAGAAGCCGAGAAATACGCGAAAGCAAGCAAGCACCTGAGAGGATTCGAAGTGATTGACGACATCAAAACAGAGGTCGAGAGAGTTTGCCCACGCACGGTCTCCTGCGCGGACATCCTGACTGCTTCCGCCCGGGACGCCACAGTGGCAGCAGGAGGTCCCTTCTGGATGGTTCCCTACGGTCGCCGGGACGGGAGAATCTCCGTCGCCGGCGAGGCACATACCTTTGTCCCGGTTGGCCACGAGAGAATCACTGACCTCATCGAGCTTTTCCAGTCGAAGGGTCTCAACATACTTGACCTCGTTGTGCTCTCCGGGGCCCACACAATCGGGAAGTCCAGCTGCGGTTCCCTACAGCACAGGCTGTTTGGCGGTGGACTCCTCAAGGGAGGGCCCAATAACAAGCCCGGTCCACCCATCGACCCAAAGTACCTTAACTTCCTAACAAGGAAATGTAGGTGGGCTTCGGAGGCAGTCGAGCTGGATGGAGTAACCCCAATGAAGTTCGACGTGCAGTACTACAAGAACCTGCAGAAGAAGATGGGCCTACTCTCTACGGACCAATTGTTGTACTCTGACTCCAGGACTGAGCCGCTCGTCTCTGCTTTTGCTTCTCAATCCGCGCATTTCCACCAACAGTTTGCAGCATCCATGCTCAAACTTGGCAAGATTCAGGATTACCTTACCGACAAACGAGACTCTGAGGTTCGACTCAAGTGCAACACAGTCAATTCGGGATTGTACTAGTTAAACATACATACATATGACCTGTTGTTTTGTTTATGTTTCTACTGTTTGATTTGTGCCTATTAACTGTCTGCATTGTTTTATTTTTCTTCAAATTTTCCCTGTGAACCTCAACGGTCGTGTATTTCACTTACATGCTGACGAGTAATTCATTCGTATTATGATGCTTCATGCTGTCGTCCAAGTGAATCTAGGCAATAAGAAGCACGAGCACGATTATAATTAAAATACAAACCTTGGAAGAAAACTGAAAAAGAGAGAGAGAGAGAACTCCTCCACATGTAAAAGCTCAGTTTTAAATTGAACTGTAACTCAATATTTCCCCAATAATATTAAACTGAACACACGAACGCTGAAGATGTTAAAAAATGTATGCCAAGTAATATGT